TTATATATTTTTAGAGTGCACAGAATGCAGTAAGAAAGAACCTTGAGTAACTGTGCCTTTTCTACTGATGACCTAAAGTGTGTGTGTGTTTTTAACGATTTATTTATTTGAGAGAGAGAGCACGCACAAGTGGTGGAGGGGGGGGTGCCCGGGAGAGGGAGAGAGAGAATCTCAAGCAGACTCCCCTCAGAGCACAGAGCCAGGCGAGGGACTCGATCTCATAATTCTGAGATCATGACCCTAGCCAAAATCAAGAGTCATAAGCTTAACAGACTGAGCCACCCAGGCACCCCTGACCTAAAGAGTGTTAATTAACTTTTCTTACTTATAAAATGAGGGTCTCAAACTAGGGTAACCTTGAAAGTCCCTTCCAGTTCTGAATGTCTAACTAAATATAATTAGCAAATTTTAGAAGTGGCGCATAATAGAACTGATTGAGATATAATGGCAGTTATCCCTTGGACCCTTGAAACTTCTGTCTAGCTAACTGTGCTGTCTGCTGGCCCTCATCTTTTTGTTTACCTTGCAGTGACACGATCCTTAATTTTACAGTGGGGTTAACTTCTTTTCTTGGGCTTACAGGCTGTAGTTGTAATGACGGCACCAGTCCTTACCTAGCACCAGGACTGCTTGAAACTGCAGTACTGCCTTCGTTTCTACTGCTCCCACCTTCAGGGTTTGGAGATCCAGCTTGTACCTAACCTCCAGCACTCCCAATGGAAGGATAAACCAAAAATGCATAAAAATGATGACTTTAAGGGTGGCTCAGTCAGTTAAGTGTCTGACTCTTGATTTAGGCTCATGTCATGATCTCAGGGTCATGGGAACAAGTCCCACATTGGGCTGTGCACTCAGTACGGAGCCTGCTTGAGATTCTCTCTCCCTCTGCCCCTCCCCCTGCTCACCCATGCTCTCTCTAAATAAATAAATAAAATCTTCTAAAAATAAATAAATGAAATCTTTAAAAAGTGATGACTTAAGGGGAGAGCAGGGGATAGGGTAGGCAGAATAGGAGCAAAAGGCTTCTGTGTATATTTTATGTTGTACATTTTTTTTTTTTTT